TCTGTCAGCAGTAGAGATTGCTGTTTTAAAACAGGAAAATTGATTTTGGGAAAACAGTTATATAGGGGGAAAAGTTCCTTAGGTTTTCCTCACAATTCTGGAAGCAATGATAGGAAGGAAAGTTTACTTATACAAGTAAACTTGTCTAAAAATGTTGTGTCAGTTTTGTAAACTGCTTCATTTTTCAGAAATAGGTATTGGTTTTTTGGTTTTGTTTTTTATTGAGGTATAATTGACACATTGGTTTCAGTTGTGCAGCATAAAGATTCGATATTTGTGTATTGCAAAATGATTACTACCATAAGTCCGGTTAACAGCAATCACCATACAGTTAAAAATTTTTTTTCTTGTGATGAGAACTTTTTTTTTTTTTTTTTAAGATTTTATTTATGGGATCCCTGGGTGGCGCAGCGGTTTGGCGCCTGCCTTTGGCCCAGGGCGCGATCCTGGAGACCCGGGATCGAATCCCACTTCAGGCTCCCTGTGCATGGAGCCTGCTTCCCCCTCTGCCTGTGTCTCTGTCTCTCTCTCTCTGTATGACTATCGTAAAAATAAAAAAAAATAAAAAAAAATTAAAAAAAAAAGATTTTATTTATTTATTCATGAGAGGCAGAGAGAGACGCAGAGGGAGAAGCAGGCTTCTTGCTGGGAGCCCCATGTGGGACTCGATTCCAGAATTCGAGGATCATGACCCTGAGCCAAAGGCAGACGCTCAACCACCGAGCCACCCAGGCGTCCCCTGATGAGAACCTTTAAAATCCACTCTGCTGGGTACTTTCAAATATGCTGTATACTATTATTAACTATAGTCACTGTGCTGTACATTACATCTTCCAGACTTACACATTCTTTATAACCAGAAATTTGAAAAAAGGTACAATTTTAAAGTCCGTTTTGAATTTCAAGATTATGGGCTGATTCCTTTTGGAATTTGATCTGAAGGTCTGATCCCACACTGAAGACTTGGGACTGGAAGAATGGAGGGTAGAGCTAGGCTTCCGGGCACAGCAGCCAGAAGAGTAGGTGACTAGGAGGAGTCTGGCCAGAAGTGTTGTCTGCACGTAGATACATACACCTCTAGCTAGGCTTCTTGGACTTCCCTTGGCAAGAGACTGGAACTCCCAGGGCAAACATGAGGGACTTCTTGGGGCCCACAGGTTTTTAGCTCTCCCGGAGGAAGAATCTCTAGGTCTTTATCACAGAAGAACCTTTGAGATCTCTGCCATCAAGAGGTCAACTGTATGGAAACTTGTTTGTGGCATTTGGGCCAAAGGGAACCTATTTCCTGGACAAAGGGAAGAATAGCTCTTGCAACATCCAGCTCTTCCGCTGGAGTCTGGTGGAAAGAGCTAGAATCCCAAATCACAGGGTCTGTGTTCTTGTCTCTCAGCCCTAAGAACAGGGACCATACCTGTGTCACTCATCATTACAAACCCAGCGTCTAATTATACTGCTTGACATGTAATAGGCATTCAATGAGTATTTGAATGAGTGAATTAATAGTAAATTTTCAGCTTTCTTAACTTTGTCTCTGATCCTCACAGTGTTTGAGTAAAAGTTAGAGGATATCATTTTAGATAATTAACTCCGTTGTAAACACGGAGTTAATGCAAATTTGAAGGCACTGAAATCAGGTGCCATTTCTTGGTTTCAAGGTGGTTAGGCATATAGGTGAGCTAGGTTATTTTTGTAATATCCTCAAAACAAAAGCAGCATTAAAATTTTTTTATAGAGAAAGCAATTGTGACAAAATACTACAATTTGGTGACTCTAATAACAACAATAATAAAATATTACATAAGGTGAATGTTTAGTAAACATAAAGTATGTGGAGATTCCTAAGTTCTTTTATGTGTTTAGCTGTAGACCCTTTGCAAAAATTTCATACTTTTTAGGGACTTAATCTCTTGTGAAATTTTTATTCTAAATGTAAAGGAAATATTAATTGTAAAGAAGATTTGTGACTTTATTTTCCTGAAAAGTGAGTTTTCTTAAATTGAGATCTACTTATATTTGGACTGTTGTATCCTGTCAGATATAAACCTGATGGTATGTTTTTCCTTGACCGTGTGATGCACAAAGTTGGCACCTTAGGTTTTACATTACTGTTAATTACTGATTCTGCTTCCTCTGTACTTTCATTGGTTTATGTGTCCCTTCACTTAATGTAGTTATGTGCTTAACAACCTTACCTTTGTAAGCTCTTCTGTTGATTTTGTGGTACCACCTCCTTTTTTTTCCTCAGTTACTGATTGACAGATAGAAATTATGTATATTTAAGGTGATGATATGTATTGTGAAATGATTACCACAGTAAGGTTAGTTAACACATCCATCACCTCATACAATTACTTTTTATTGAGAACATTTAATATTTATTCTCTTAACAACTTTCAAGTATATAATATAGTATTGTTAACTATAGCTATTGGCTGTAAATTAGAGCCCTAGAGGGACGTCTGGGTGGCTCAGGGGTTGAGCCTCTGCCTTTGACTCAGGGCATGATCCTGAGGTCCTGGGATTTGAGTCCCACATCGGGCTCCCTGCGAGGAGCCTGCTTCTCCCTCTGCCTATGTCTCTGCCTTCTCTCTGTATCTCTCATGGATAAATAAATAAAATCCTAAAAAAAAAAAAAAAAATTAGAGCCCTAGAATTTAATTTGTTTTACAACTGGAGGTTTGTATCCTTTGACCAGCATCTCCACATTTTGCCTGTTCCACAGCCCCTTGCAATCACCAGTCTACTCTCCATGTCTCTGAGCTTGGCTTTTTTAGATTCTATGTAAAATGAGATTATACAATTTGTGTTTCTCTATCTGACTGATTTCACTTAGCATAATGCTTTCAAGTTTCATCATATTGTTGCAAATGGTAGATTATTTTTTTCTGAATAACATCCCCTTGTGTATTTATGCCACATTTTCTTTATTCATCTGTCAGACATTTAAGTTGTTTCCATGTCTTGGCTATTTTAAGTAATGCTAAAATGAATATGGGGGGTGCAGATACCTTTTAAAGATAGTGATTTCATTTCCTTTAGGTATATACCTAGAAGTGGGATTGCTAGATTATATGGTAGTTCTATGTTTAATTTTCTGAGGAACTTTCACAATGTTTCCATGGGGAAAACTGTAAATTTAAAAAAATTCACAGTCCTACTGACAATGCACGAGGATTCCCTTTTTCTCTGCATCCTTGCCAACACTTATCTGTCTTTTGATGATAGGCATCCTGACAGGTATAGGGATATATATCTTTCTGTGATTTTGATTTGCATTTCCCTGTTGATTAGTATGTGGAGCACCTTTTCGTGTATCTGTTGGCCATTTTTGTGTCATCTTTGGAAAAGTGTCAATTCAGGTCCGTTTGCCCATTTTTAATCAGATTATTGACTTTTGGCTATTGAGTTGTAAGAGTTCCTTAATTCATTTTGGTTTTAACCCCCTTAATCAGATCGCTAATTTGCAAATATTTTCTCTCGTTCTGTAGGTTGCCTGTTCTTTTTGTTGATGGTTTCCTTTATGTGTAGAAGCTTTTTAATTTGATGTAGTTCCACTTGTTTATTTTGCTTTTGACAAATCCTTTGCTTGCTTTTAGGGTCAAATCCACAAAATCATTGCCAAGACCAGTGTCAAGGTGCATACCCCCACTGTGTTTTCTTCTAGGAGGTTTATGGTTTCAGGTCTTATGTTCAAGTCTTTCATCCATTTTGTGTTGATTTTTGTGTATAATGGGAGATAGTTGGTTCATTTTCATTCTTTTCAAGTTGCTGACAGTTTTCCCAGCACCATTTGTTGAAGAGTCCATTCTTTTTTCAACCTTGGCTCCTTTGTTGTGAATTAATTGACCATATTTGTGTAGGTTTATCTCTGGGCTCTTGATTCTGTCGCATTGATCTATGGGACTGTTTTTGTGCTACTGCCCTACGATATTGATTACTATAGCTTTGTAATAGAGTTTGAAATAAGGAAGCGTGGTGCCTCCAGCTTTGTTCTTTCTTCTCAAGGTTGCTTTGGTTCTTGTGGTTTTTTTGTAGTTCCATACAAATTTTAGGATTGTTTGTTCTGTTTCTATGAAAAATATCTTTGGAATTTTGATAGGGATTGCACTGAATTTGTAAATTGCTTTTGGTAGTGTGGACATCTTAACAATATAAATTCTGATCCATGAACACAAGATACCTTTTCAGTTATTTGTGTCAATTTTTTTCATCCAGTATCTTAAAAGTTTTCAGTGTATCCTCCCCCTGTATCTGCACTCTGGTGGCCTTTTAAAACCTCCTTTTTTCTTTTTTTTCTTTTCTTTTTTTTTTTTTGCTGGGGAAACATACTCCTACAGTGTAGTTGTTTAGATATTTTAATGGGAGATATTCGATACTATTGACTTAATTTCTGGAATAATGTTATGGATTGCTGTCATGCTGGTGAAATTATCTTCCCAATCCTTGTTTTTCTTTGCAAAGTAGAAGCAAATTTTAGAGTCAGAAAGGATTTAAGAGTTCTTTAAGTTCCTTTTATTGTGATTGAGCAGGCATGTGTTTGCCTAATTTGGGGCAGAGTTGGAATAAGAACCAGAATTTCAGGTCTCATGCTTTGGTATTTTATAAGCTTTCTTTGCTCTAGTTTTGAAAGTCCCTATTTCAGAAGAGCTGTTTTCATTCCAGTATTTATACTCGATACCCCCTCAAAAAGCAAGTTGATTTGAGAGCTCAAAATATGCTGACATACATGAATAGGTATTTGCTGCTGCCCAACAATGACCCAAATCTACAAAGTTTAATGTCCTAATAGATGGATATACATGGCGGGGAGGTAATTTAAGTATGTAAAATTTGTGAAGAAACCTCCATGTTGCTGTTATCCAGCATCAGTTATTATTACTTTGTCACTGTTTGTGAGAAACACTTTTTTAATCTTGGCAATTTTTAGATTTTATCTAAATGCAAAATAAGTAGAAGCATATTCTGAATTGCTTAACAGAAGCACTTTGATTTTTCTGCAGTGTTTCCTGAGGTTATAGGCGGGTGTTTGAGGAGTACATGCGGGTTATAAGCCAGCGGTACCCAGACATCCGCATTGAAGGAGAAAATTACCTCCCTCAACCCATATATAGGTAAGTGAATTTCAGTAACTTAAAATGAATTTTTAAAGTGAATTTTTTTCACTTTTGTGAGTAAACTTTTGTGGATTGTTTCAATTAACTCTTGGTTATTGTAATTTCTTAGTTGGAAAAAAGAGAACACTGTCTTATAAGTAGCAAGTTGATTTGATCCAAATAAGGAAGAATTTTTCTGTAAGAAGGAAAAGAGGAGGATTATTTCAGAGATGGCAACCTTAATTTTTATACAAAGTCAATGGTATAAAATTCTGTACTGTTAAAATAATAGTATTTTTAAAGGTTAATGCTATATAGTTTTACAAGTTATTTTTATTAATTTAAAAGATATTAAACATTTTTGTTTTAAAACTCCACAATAAACTTTAGTTACTATCTTTTTTACTACTTGTAATTAGTAACTTTTAGATTTGGTGTCTAGAAAATGTCTGTACACTTATACTTGAATTATGAAGTTTTGAATTTGAGAAATATTGTGACTTCTGATGAATTTTTTTTCTTTCAATAGACACATAGCATCTTTCCTGTCAGTCTTCAAACTAGTATTAATAGGCTTAATAATTGTTGGCAAGGATCCTTTTGCTTTCTTTGGCATGCAAGCTCCTAGCATCTGGCAGTGGGGCCAAGAAAATAAGGTACGTAACATAATAGTTTTCATAATTGTAGGTTTTTAGGTTGTCAGTGAAAATATTTTAATGGATTGTTTGGTTTTTTTAAGTATCTGTTGCTGATTCATCTGCTCACTTGTATTATTTTGGCTTTAACCACTTTTTAATCTTTGGATAAGGCACTTAGCCTTTCTTGGCCTTAGTGTTTTTTTTTTTTTTTTGTATTTTTTTTTCCTTGACCTTAGTTTTTATAATTATGTATTAAGAAAGATTAGGTCTTTTTACTATTTGAAAGATAGGGAGGTGTGACTTTAAAAGAAACTGGGCACAAAATAATTTTAATACTTGATATTGATTATATAGATTAGGGCAAATCATATCCAACAGAACATCATATACACATAATGTAGGCCTTTTATACTAATAAGGGTATTAGTGGTTTTGTTCACATTAAAAATGGCATTTCCATGGATTTGTTCTTTTTTTTTCATGTATTTGTTCTTAAAATTTGGTTTTAATGGCTTCTGACTCTTCTGTTTTAAATATATGTAAATATATATGAAAATATATATATATCTAATATTCTATATTAGATTTCCTTCATTTGTTTTACTTGAAGTCGTCTTTTCTGGAAGGTCTATCTTTCTGCTGTGAGGAATGGGACTAATTTTATTTCTCTCTTAGAGGAGATTGCTTAAGTTTCCTTCTAAAAAGTGTTCTGTTTTGGAGTCCTCTGGGCTTGTTTTTTAGGTCTAGGCTGAAACTACCTTTAGTGGACTCCTACATATCTATGCTTCTTTTTCTTAGGGAACGACTTATTTCCAGTAATAGGCAAGGCTCCTTAACATAAACATCCTCAGGTGCTACCCCTTATTGAACTGTGTCTCCATTATTAATAAGATTGATTTGCATAAGATTAAGAATTGCAAGTTAAGTACTCTAATGTTTTGAGTTACATTTATTCTGTTGATTCCAACTTCAGTGCATTTTACTTCTGAAGACATATAATGTTGTTAATCTGCTGTGGAAGAAGAGCTATAGCTTTTATGTGTACCCTTGTGTATCGTTTTCATGAAAATAATCTTACTGTTCCCAAATGCAAGAGTAACCTCTATGAAATCAAAGCCCACCTAGCTGGGAGGAGAGCCCTTTCTCATTTGCTGTGAGCATTTTTATTTACTTTTTTGAAATCATTTGCTATACATTGACACCCTCACTTCATCCTGTTTTTTAGGTGATTTTGTTAAATTTTGTTCTTTCTGTCCACCAAGGAACTTCTAGTCTCTCTTGAAAGGATATGGATTTGCCCTCCAAAGAGGGGGAGCGAATGTAATTTAATATACTAGTGCTATCTAATCGACTTTTTTATTTTACTTAAAATGATTTGTTTGGAACATGAGTGGGTTGTATTGAATACATGAAGTTGCTGATTATTGCATCACTAGTCTCTTGTGAATTCATACCTTATATAAATGGTGAAATAAACCCTTCTTATGCTGGTAATATTTTGTTTAACTTATTAAGGCTATTACGAAATCTAGAGATTCTGTCTCTACGTTACAAATATCTATTCCTCATTGTGTATAAAGCTGTGAATTAATGTTGCAGTTTCCTTGTTCCATGTATGTTATTGGAACATACAGAATAGCAATAATAGTCTATGTAGAAACTTTTTTAAGATTTTGTTTATTTTAGGATGATAGAGTGAGCAGGCAGAGAGAGGAGCAGAGGGGGAGGAAGAGGGAGGGGAAAGAATCTCAAACAGATTCTGCACTGAGCACAGAGCCTGACATGGGGCTTGATACCACAACCCCAAGATCATGACCTGAGCCAAAACTGAAAGTCAGACACTTAACTTGAGTCACCCAGGCACTCCTACCCCTGTATAGAAACTTAAAGTAGATTGAAAAACAGCCATTACCATCTAAAAATGAGACTCTATATTTAAAATATTACTTTTGTGTCTGTCTTCAGTTGTAATGTTTGCCTTTAAAATAACTTTGCCTGCTGTATTTAATTACATTTTCTTTTAGGTCTATGCATGTATGATGGTTTTCTTCTTGAGCAACATGATTGAGAACCAGTGTATGTCAACAGGTGCATTTGAGATAACTTTGAATGGTGGGTTCTTTTTTTTTTTTTTTTTTGAATGGTGGGTTCTGAATAGTTTGCATTCTTTAATACATTTTAAATGATTTATAACAACCATCGGGCTTTTCTATTTTTCATAATATGCAAAATTAGCACTTTATATGGCCCTCACCTCACCTAGCTTGAGAATTATATCCATATGATGACCCTTGAATGTGTAACTCTAGAGACCTCTAGATCTCTCTTTGAGGTGCTACCCCCAGGTATCTTTTTTAGAGTGAGAGGGTTTAATATTTTAAGATTTTATTCATTTATTTGAGAGAGAGAGAGTATGAGCAGAAGGAGAGGGAATATACCCAGGAATCTTAAACTACTTCCAAGCAATTGATTATCTCCGCTTCTTACAATTCTTATGTACTCCAATTTGCTCCTTCCCTGGCATTGCTCATTTATTTATAATGGCACATTATCATTCTGTCCAGTTGCCCATGTCAGAAAGCTAGGATAATCTCAGTTTCTCCCTTACTCTCCATATCTAATGGATTACCAAGTATGATTCTTAATTCTACCTTCTACATTTCTCAAAATTCTACTTCTATTTTTTGTTAACATGACTACCCTAGTCCAAGTCCAAATGATTTTGTTACCCTCCAATACATTCTCTAAACTAGAGGTGGTCAGATAATGGCCTATGAGCAACAGTAGTTATAAATTTTTTAATGGTTACCAAAAAATCAAAAGACTATTTCATGGCACATGGAAATTATTTGAAGTTCAGATTTTAGCATTTAAACCTAAAGGTTTGAGTTACATCAATGAAAAATCTGTGGAAATTTATTTCTCTGGTCATGTAAGTACCTGCGTGATATCTTTGATTTTTGCTTCTTGAGTCTCAAAGCCTAAAATATTTATTATCTGGCTTCTTAACCAGCTCAAACAGTAGAGTGCATTTCTTTTTTTTTTTTTTTTAAATAAATACATAATTTTCATCTCGTTGCTTCACTGCCTCAAGTTTATTAAGTGGTTTTACTTCATCCTCAAGGTAAAGACCAGAACATTTAACACACCCAAAAGTCCCTGCTTGATGTAGCCTTTGGATTGTTGAACCATGGCCATGTGGACCCTATGTCCAGCTGCCTTTTTTTTTTTTTAATAAAATTTTATTTATTACATATTGCTTGTGGTTTCTTTCAGACTACAATTAGAGTTGAGTAGCTGCGATAGACTGTATGTCTTCCTAAGGCTGAAAATGCTTACTGTCTGGCACTTTATAGTTCATTGACCCTAATCTAATCTTCACTCGCCTCTCCAGACTTCCTTGTTACCCCTCTTCTCCTGTATTTCAGCTCTTCTAATGATAATATTTTTCAATTTTAATGGTACCTCTCAATTTTAATAATAATAAGTGCTGCAAAGGCTCCTTTCTAACCTCTTCTATGTCCCTCAGCATCTTCTAGTTTTAATTCTTAGTACACAATTGTGATCTGTAGCTATTTCTTTGGTACGTTTTGTCTTTCCCCTACTGGAGTATAAACTCCATAACGGCAAGAAAGGTAAGTCTCTGTATTCCCAGCTGTATGTATAGACAATAAATATTTGTGGAATGAACATGTATTATAGACTTATCTTTAATTTTAAGGAGTGGTGCTATTTATTTTTATTATAGATGTGCCTGTGTGGTCTAAGCTGGAATCTGGTCACCTCCCATCCATGCAACAGCTCGTTCAAATTCTTGACAATGAAATGAAGCTCAATGTGCATATGGATTCAATCCCACATCATCGATCATAGCCCCACCTATCAGCACTGAAAACTCTTTTGTAAGTAGTTTAAAAATACAGTAACTATTTACAGGTATCATTCTCATCACAGATCAACAAGATACTAGGTATCCCATATATTATCACTTGAGTTCCCAACTTAATATTTAATAGATGGATGTTTTCTTTATTAAAATAAGAGTGAATTTTGAAATAAAATATTCTTTTTTCTCTTTCAGACATTAAGGGATTTTTTGCAAGAGCAGCGTGACTGACATTATGAAGGCCTGTACTGAAGACAGCAAGCTGTTAGTACAGACCAGATGCTTTCTTGGCAGGCTCGTTGTACCTCTTGGAAAACCTCAATGCAAGACAGTTTTTCAGTGCTGGCACATTTTGGAATTCTGCACATTCGTGGAGTGCAATAATACTGTATAGCTTTTTTTTTCTTCCCCACATCCACTCAGTTAACAGTTTTTAAGAAAAATGTAGACATTACCACTTGTACCTTTTTTTTTCCTTAGTCATATTTGGAAAAGTAGAAAATTGAGTTATAATTTGACTTTCTTTTCAAAGATGCCTGTTAAATCTGTTGTGATTTTATATGAATTTTCCTTTTTTTATAGTTTAAAATCGATCTTTTTGGGAACACAGCTGAAGTTCCCACATGCTCTAAGAGTTTATCAGGCATCTTTAATTTGGTCATGTCCAATTTCTATAGTTTTCAAAATACTGCAGATTGTGAACAGTGCATTATATGAGATTATGGGGGGAAATCCTATATCCAGAGTACTCTACCAATTTGTGTGTATGTGCGTGTGTGCGTGTGTGATTACCAGAGAATTACTAAAAGACCAACTGCTTTTTAAATACTGTTATGTAGTTCAAGTGTCTTGCCTTGACCAATCTAATGAGTTGATTAACTGGGCCTTTATACTTAATAAAAAACTAAGCAGATGTAAGTTAAAAAGTTTGAATTTATTGCCCAGCGTACCTATTAACATATTTAAAAGTTGTCTTCCTCAATTTTTTTGAATTCCAGATAATTTCATAAGGAACATACTTTAGTTTGATATGCAAATAATAGATCATTTACCATCTTTAGGATAATGAATCAGTTGAAAGTTCAGTTAAACCTCTTTACACTTCATTTTAGGTGAATGGAGACTATTTGTCTAATAATTTAACTTAACATCATATATCAGAATTTTATTATATTTAAGGAACAAAATCAAAAAGTTTTTATTCAGTGAATTTAATATCTTTCCAGAGTTCTATAATGATAGTTTTTTTTTAAACAAAACCTTAAACTGCTGGACCATAAGGGTAATTTAGCAGAAATAGGATCATAATGTAGAAAAATAGTCAAGTATCAACATATTTTAGATTCCATATGGGAATAGACGTGTAGGTCTAGATTTGTTACTAGAAATAAAGGGATTTGAGGAAAAATTATGAGACCATTCAACATTTGGTCTTACAGACACTTAGCACAACCCCTTATACTTCACTTATCACTGAATATTTGTTGAATTGATGTTTGGTAATCATGATTTTATATTCCCAAGGTGGAACATGCTGTAGTAGTCTCTAGCTAACAGGAAATTAGTCTGATGATTCACTGCAGAAAATTGATTAAATGACTTCTTTTAATCAAGACTGCACAACTGTTAACCTAAGTTGATACAGTGGCAAGCGTCCATAGAGGTTACGTTGGAACTTCTTGGAAGTTATTATTCATGTGTAATATTTTATGTTTGATTAGCCTTGCTTAAAGGCTAGTCAGGCTTAAAGCCTCACTACTTTTCATTTGTAGCAGCCCAAATATCTGTCTTCTGCAAGTTGAACACAGAGCTCAGTGTTAGTGTAGGGCCTTTTCTTTAGTTGATGGCCATTCCAATAGTGATAAATTAACCTTTGGGCATTTAGAACTTCCAAACTCGAGCCTTGGATGTTCCTATGTATCTGACAGGTTAGGCTTCAAAAGCATAAGATTATATCCTAACTTTTTTCATGTTTGTCTTGGGTGAATAACATGTCTTTTGGAGAATAGCTTTAAGTGGCTTAGACACTGATAAAACTCAGTGTGTTATTTTTTGTACACTCATCAATATTGTTTTATCTTTAACCATATTTAAATCTAGGATTTAATAGAGTCTACTGGAAAAATTAGTGGAAAGCATGAATATAAAAACCAATAAGGAAAAGGGGAAAGTTAAAAAAACTATTTAGAAGAAAATGAAACTATTTAGAACTAATTTTATTATATTTCTAACATTTCAGAATTTATTAGTTGCTTACAAATTGATGTGGCTGTGTAATTTATAAATGTTTATGTATTATATTTAATTAGGAGACTGTAGAACATTACAACAGATTGGCTAATGTTACTGGGTTTTTTTTTTTGTTTGTTTTTGTTTTTTGTTTTTTTTTAAACCAGAGTTGCTGTTGTGGAAGAAATTACTTGTTAGATTAATAAAAGAATGTTGGCAAAACATGGTTTTATACCTCAGAATCCAGATGTGCAAGGCAAAATATGCTTTCAGATTATGAATACTTTTCTTAAGGTATTAACATTAATGACAGCAGTTGGTTAGCCTTTTACCATTATCAAAATACAACAGGATTCCAATGATTATTCTTTCTTATTTTGAATGTTGTTTCTTTGGGACCTTGATTGGTTGGCATTTTATCAGTGTCATAATTTTAAATAATTCAGATTTTAAAACCAGCCTGCAGAATTTTTAAGCATGATTTGATGATATTCAATACTAAGGCTTTTAAAAAAAATTTCTTGAGAGAAATGTGAGGGATTGTAAAGTTTAGGGGCTTACTAACACATGTGAAAATAAACTTATATTAAGCTGATGTAAAAGGAACCTCTTTTTTGTGGAATTAAATCTGTGCTAGAGCACTTCACGTGATAACTGTATTTAGGAAATTTTATTTGTAAAAGTCGTTGGTATCAAATAGTATGTTCGCTTTCTAATTACTTCTTAACCAGTGCTAACACATCCCCTCGCCTTCTCAATCTGGCACTCAAGCCTTACTGCTCTTGGACCTTACACTACTTCTCAAGCCTTATGGTCCTCTTGGTGTTGCCGAACTAACAACAGCTCTGGTGTAATTCTGTGCTTGTTTGGAGCAGGGAGCAGCAGTTTACATCATTGTCTGTCCCCAACCTCCAGAATTCCTGAGAAAGTAATACTGATATTCCCAAATCTAGAGAAAAAATAGTAGGAGGACCTTCCCTCTCGACTACATAGAGACAGCAATCTCAGAAGAGAAAACAAAGCTCGGATTTTTTTTAAAAAAGATTTTATTTATTCATATGAGACAGAGAAAGGAGCAGAAACATAAGCAGAGGGAGAATCACGCTCCCTTAGGAGCTTGATACAGGACTCATCCCGGGATCATGATCTGAACCAAAGGCAGACACTCAGAGTGATCCAGGTGTCCCAAAGCTCAGATATTTTTTAATAATTCAGGTGAGCCTTTTCCTTCACAGACCTTGGCTCTTTTTTCTTAGGCTTCGGAAAAGCCAATAGAGACTCCTATCCAAACTGTATCTTGAAGAAAAATATAAACTGGTCTCAGAGTGGGAAGAGTGATAAGTCACCTACTCTCTATCAAAGCTTATGGAATGTCTTCTGTTGCCTATGTAAGCTTGAGCAAAATAAAAAGAAACATGATAACTACATAAATATCTGCAGCATCGGTTTTAAAACTTTCATGTGCTTAAGAATCATTGGGTCAGATTCCATAGAAATTGTGATTCAGTGGTGTGAGAGGGGATCAAATAATTTGCATTTCAAACAAGCTTCCCGAGTAATACTAGGGCTGTCAAGTCTGTGGTCCATACTGAGAATCACTGTACCTAGAGCAGAATGCAAAAGGCTTAACAACTCATCCCAAGAGAAAATGTAACTCATGGAAAGGAAGAAAATTTTGTCCGTTTGCATCACATTTATAGAATGACTTAGTTAAGAATTCAGTAAATTGGGAACTCAAAGAGGAGAGAAACAGAATGAGAGGAGAGGGAGGTTGTTTCTAGAAAAACTTTGGAGGACTTCATTGTCCCAAGTAATCTGTTTTACCAATGTGGCCAATTTGTTTTTTATCGTTCGTTGAGTTCATGTTTTGAGACTTTTTAGTTGGATGTTTTAAAGGTAATGTCAAATCTTTAGATATAAAATCGATTTTAAGTACCAGATTTTCCCAGAGCAAAACAGGCAACATGCCTGTATTATGCTTATATTTAATAGTGACCTCTGACTTGATTTTTACGTAAATCTATTTAAATGCTTATAATTCTGAGTAGAGAAAATGCATACTTTTAGTTTTTGTCGTGGTAACCATAATAGAACCCGTAAAATTGGTAGGGTAACCCAATCTGACTTAATTCAGCCCCGTCCCCCACCAAAGCAAAGGACTTAGTAGTTCATGTAACTGAAAAATCCAGTGTAGAGTTGTCCTCAGGGTTTCAAATAAGATTATCGGAATTCTCCATCTAAGTTGGTCTCACTTCTCCATGAGCCTTCCTCAAAATGGGAAAAGAGTGCTTGGGGCTGGGGAGGATGGGGGAGTAATGAATGAGAGCACGGATAAAGTCTCAGAAAACTACACTGGTGCAAATTGGGTCACGTTCCTATCTTTGAATCTTATTTCTCACTTGATAGCCACTCTCAAAATACTGTGTTCTGTTAACCCTTCCTTTCCTCTAATTAGTGACTTTACTCCCTCTACCCAGTCTCCTTCCTATTTAGGATTATAATTATTTAAGACAAGCTTATGGCTTTGTGGTTGGTTATAATCTCGGATTAAGTGCTTAACTATTTGGGAATCAATCTGGAATGGATAGAGTCAGCTTTGGATCGCTTGGCCTGGTTAATACAGGTATCAGAACCTGGCTAGCAGATTCCCAAATTCCCTTGGGCCACTGCCTATGCTCATTTACTTTGTGTACTAGCAACTCTCCCTAGAGGGGAAAAAAAAAAAAAAAACAATTACTGCTCTTCGTTTATTGTTACTGTTGAGTTGCTAAGAACACATCTGTTTGCAGGTAAGCGTGCTGATGACATTTTCCCCAGAACTTTTTTTGTTAAGTATTAGAAGATCTGGGTTTCATCTCTTAAGAGCCCATGGAATCTAGAGATGAGACACTCTTCTTAAGGTATTAAAGGACACGTTTAAACAAAATAGGCTACCTATTAATGTGATTGTCCCAGTAAAATTCTATAATATACAGATATATAGGAATTTGGTGTTGTGAAAAATTTTGAGATCTACTTCAATACTTGAAAGAAGGGGCAAGAGAAGTTAAGTATCTTGCTGTGGTTCTATAGTTTTGTCAAAAACATGTCGTTTTGTTAAAACTACATCCTTGGTGAGGGTTGGGGAAAGAGCAGTTAACAGCAAAGAGGCTTCATTAGAAAAGACCCCAAGTGGGAAGACTTAAAAAAACAAAGCAGACTTAAAGATTTAATCTCAGTTTCACTTGACAACTGTTTATTTACTTTTTTCTTTTTTAAAGATTTATTTATTTATGATAGACATAGAAAGAGAGAGGCAGAGACACAGGAGGAGGAAGCAGGCTCCATGCTGGGAGCCTGACCAGGACTTGATCGGGACTTGATCGCGGGTCTCCAGGATCATGCCTTGGGCCAAATGCAGGCGCTAAACCGCTGAGCCACCCAGGGATCCCCTGTTTATTTACTTTTACTTTAGCTAAGATGGACTGGAATTTTCCAAATCAAACTAAAAGCAAGGGAGTGCAGGAGACAATAGGAGAGAAGGCAAGTTTACATGACAAATTCTTACCCTTACACAAGTAACTGCAAGCTCCAGATTGACTCAGCGTGTTTCCTCATCTGGAAGGACCCTTCCCTAAAATTGGATTTGTGAATTGCAGTTTTCTTAACCACTTATCCTCTTCATTGCTTGTGTGAAAATTGCAAAGCATATGGGAGAGATTTCTGTGTACATGTCCTAGGCAAGGAAGTTGCCTCATCCATGAGTTTAAAAACACACCTTGTGAGCTGGAGTTTTGGTCATATGTTCTTGCTAAGTTCTTGAATTTTTAATTCAATGAAGATTCTTCATCACTAATGTTTCTCAATGTTTCTTCTGAAGCACAGGTCTGCCTAGGGCTGTGGCTCCATGTGACGCATTGCAAAACAATTTTGTTGACAAATTTAAAATCCATACCAAAAAACTCATTTCACTTCAAATTGGTCATGAAGTATTGCTTTTACATAAAAATTTTACATAATTTTTATTACATAAAAATTTTAATTACATAAAAAGTTTTATTAATAACTCCCTAAAGCTTCAAGCAAATCCATTCTCAAAAAATTGTGTTTCTCCTGAGACTATTATAACTTCTGTTCCGTTGCATCTTACTCCCTTTGAGTATGGGGGGAGTGTGCTTGTGTGTACATATCCTAGGAAACAAAGTGATCTACATTATAGACTCTTTTCCTTTAAGCTTACAGGAACTTTCTGTGTAATCTGCAGAACACTATGCTTAAGAATTACTATAGTAACCAAAGGAATGTGTTCCAGGAAACCCAGAAGATGTGTGTGGAAAGATCATATGAGAAGCACACCTAGGAGTTCTAAAATGTTGCATAAAGAGAGTTATAAAGCCAAAAAGCTTAATTAAATCCTGTACAGAGTAAAGTAATGACAAACATGCTGAAAACATTGGCCTCTGAAAGTCTTGAGGAAGGCAAAAATAAGTGCTGTCTGTGGATGAGTGAATGGGTTTTGTTAAGGCGGAGGTTCTCATGGGAGTTTTACCCTCTAGAGGATATTGGTGATGAGGTACTTTTGGTTGTCATGACCAAGGCAGGGGTGCGTTGCTCCTGGCAGCTATGAGTAGAGCCAGAGATGCTGCAAAATAGTCTGCAATGTCCAAGACAACTTCTCACCGCAACGAATAATCTGGTCTAAAATGTCTATACGGCCGGTGTTGAGAACTCTGGGTTAAGGTTAGGAGAGTTGGAGGAGGGTGCTGGGAAAGCAGAAGAGCAGTCAGGGGACACATGCCTTGGCCTCTTGGAGGCCTTGGAATGGAGCCTCACAACAGCCTCCAGCTGGGACCTGGGAGGGAAGATGCTTTAGCCAGATCTGCCCCCTGGGGTGGGAGAGGGCAGCCCTTCTCTTGGAGCCCAGCCCGAAAGGAATTTGCTATCAGAGGGGCCTAGTGTGCTTTCGGAGCATCTCTTTCGTCTCTTTGAAAGGGTTTTCTCTGTTTATGTTTAAAATTACCTTAACAGAGGAAGCCTTTCATTCCAATAATGAAATAAAGGCTAAATTGAAGGTGACCAACATTTTCGTGGGAAAACGACTGTCAAATGTAATGAGCAACAACAAAGAGAAATGGCTCTTGTTCAATCCTTTTCCTTTGAATAGGGGAAAATGAGGTGGTAATGGGCCACCTCAGAGGACGGAAGGGGAACAGAAAGAAATGCTTTCTAGAGAAGTTCCCGAAGATTCCTTCGAATGTGTGGGCAAGTGAAGCTGTAATTAGTTAGAAGCAGCTTTGAAATCTATAAAGAGGGGGGAAAAGACGAACTCTGGTGTAGAGTCCCGCTGCCCCCTCCACCCCCCGCCCCCGCAGCTTTTTATTAATGAATTGGATGGTAAGATAACATTCTGGACTCCTGGAGTTCAGAAATGTTTCCTAACAAAATAGTCTGTATTTTAATCTTCTGGACTTCTACCTTTCCTTAGGCTCACTGAGGGGGCAGTTGGGGAAACTAGCTTTGGAATCTACACTGAAAGCCAAGCAAATCCACACTTGTAAGTCAGCCCTATTCTTGGAAATTCCCTCCTTCAGAATTATATTTCCATTTAGTTTTTTAAGAGCTCTTTTTGGAGGGGCTCCTAGGTGTTTGGTAACGTGGAAGGTAACAGTTGTGAAGATGTGTAACACAATTTCTGCATTCAAGGAGCTTAACAGCAGAACGGACAACCACACAAAAACATCAAACACGGCGAAACGTGAAATCCTGGAAAAAGAAGCTTCATAAGATGGCTATGGGAACAGAAAGGGATGGGGCATTGGGTTTAATCCCTTGCAGATAGAATTTTCAGTAAATGGGTGTGAGGGGAAAGGCACAGAAGGGAAAGCATTTGAGAGAGAAGGCGGCACAGGGTCCTGTGGTAATTCCTGTAGGGGAAGGGGCTGAAGCACGGGTGGGAGAGGGGCAGGCGGATGGCGAGACGGTGGGAAGTAGGCTGGAAAGATGGGAAAAGCTAGGGGAAGAGGATTGAGGACATTGAGAGCTGGGAACTGGACTGCTATGGATGATAGCCATGGAAGGTTTTTGTGCGGATGTGCAGTAAGATGAGCTCTGGGATTTAAGAAGTGATTCTGCCTGTAGTGCGGTACGGCGGCGGTGGGAATGCAGGGGAGGCAGCAGGAGGAAAAGAACTATCCAGAGGCTCTAGCAAAAACATTCTGGCATTCTCCTAGTATCTCATTAGACATCTTTGACCTTGGAAATACATACAGTAATTTATTCAATTAAAAAATCACTCAGCTTTTGTGGTCACAGTCCCTTTGTATTCCAGAGTTTTCTTTTACTTTAGGGTTCAGTGTCCTGCTGAGGCTAGACTCCCTCAGAATCCTCCTTAAATCTAAAGTTTCGTGTTTACAGTCTAACCTTTAACCCTTGTATATCATTTAC